ACAGTATCGGCCTTGCACCGTAGTTGCCGAAGAATGGACTGCGACTGATTGCCCAAAACGTGTTCTTAGACTACCAAGACAATATTCGTTACATACAATGTCATTCAAAGGTCAAGGTCAAGGTCAGGTCAGGTCAGGTCAGGTCACCAAAACCAAAATATAGAAAAGGGCATATGCGACACATGTTTTATGGGTCATTTTACTCATAGAATTCAATAGGCACACTCAATAGGTGATATGGACCACCTCTGGATGAATTTCAGGTCGAGGTCAGGTCAAGGTCAGGTCAAGTGAGGTCAAATTTTGAAGTTGGTTTTTAAGGCCTAAAAAGGTGTCTATCTGATGCAGTTTTTCACGGCGAATCGAATGGTGCTATTTTTATTTCCGTACGAGGTCCAGAACTTCCAAAAAAATCATTTTTCAAAATTTTTGTTTGTCATGACGTCATAAAATTTTGAATAACTCCCACATTTTTGAACCGATTCTTCTAAAAATTGGTATGTAGGTGCACATAGACCACGTCTCTGACATATATTCCGGTTTTTCGATACACTCAAAATTTTTGATTTTATGATTATTTTCCCAAAAAAGTCAGTTTTTTGAAAACAATTGGGCCAAAATCCAAAAGTTTCAAAAAACCGAGATAGCCATTTGATAGACAAAGTAGAATCACGTATAACCTTTTTGTTACGTCTTGATTCGTTCAAAAATGAAGATGTTAGCGGCGTTTGAAATTTTGCCGTTTTTGAGGCGAAAATGGCGAACATGACGTCACTAAAACGTCAATTTCTCAAAAATTTTCCGACGGATTTCGCTCAATTTTTCAGGGAACGTGTCAAATTGATGTATGATAAGGTACTGAAAGTTTGACGTCGCAGGCGTAACGCGTTTGGAAGTTATTGGCGAAAAACGGGAGGGGGGGCAGATTCTGCCCCCCCCCCCCAGCGGGGCGCGGGTTAAAGTTACCGCTAGAAGCGTTAAAAATGCATGGAATAAACATATTATGAAATATTTGATAAGCTACGAGTGAAATTATCGCCATAAGACTAGCTTTGCAAAATTTTACGACGCTGGTACCCGACTGCAAATATTTACTGAAAATTCGCAGTTTTGTACAAATGTGGCGCTGTTTATGCGCCTTGAATTGTAAAAATGTCATCTTTATAATAATCAGATGACATTTTTAGTTTTTTTTACATTTTAGTTGTGTTCATTGTGGGGGCCGCTGCAAAGGCATTACCCAAATAAACGTCATGTCATAATCAGTTGCTCGGAAATTTGCATCCACCGCCACGTGACTTTGTCTTCTTTTTACCGCTCGATTTTTTTCATGCTGCATTTTTATGATAATCAACGGCTCAGAATCGGGAATAAAATTCGCAGCCGGCTCGGAATTTATTTTATAATAATGGCCTCTGGGCGGTTTTCACCTGACTTTCACCTAAGGTGACAGGGCAGGCCGTAAAATGAACATTGGCTATTCATCGTTGTACATTGGCTATTCATAGCCCCCCTCCTAACTCCGAAACTACTGGGCCGATCGTCAAAATTCAAACGGCGTCTGATAGCCCCGGAAAAACTGTCGAGCGAAACCTAATTTCATTGACCTCGAGGTCACCGATGACATCACAGGTCAGGTCAAAGTAAAAATTATTAGCATTTTGGCTTGTTCACATTTTGGGCTCTGGCCGCCGTCTTACAAGGCAGATCAGGCTCATTTTTGGTTTCCACACTCGTGAACAGATGCTCTAGACACCTTGAGGGTACCAAACTTGTACTTTGATTTTCAGGTCAGGGTCAGGTCATCACAGGTCACGGAAATATCTTATCATGCGTCGGTCACGTGACACATGTTTTATGGTCCATTTAGGCCATAGATTTCGAATTTGATGTCGTCTGTGTCATTCGAGGTCATTTTGAGTCAAATTTAGCTTAGGTCAGGTCACTTTCAGGTCAAAAAAGGTCAAATTTTGAAGTTAAATTTTTTCAACAAAAATGTATCTATTGGATGCAGTTTGAGCTCAGGAACACGATGGTGCGATTTATATTGGTGTACGATGTCAAATACGTACTGAAAAACGGATTTGAAAAATTAATAATTGTGAATTTTTTGCAATAATGCGTATAACTTGGCCATTTTTGACGATATTTAACTAAAACTTGCTAGAGTTAGTCATAATCATGCTTTCTGTCACATATATTTCGGTTTTTTCGAAAAGTCAAAAACGTTTTGAAAAAAAAGTATAAAAATATAAATTTTGAATATTATTATATAAAATTTTCGAAATTTTCAAACTTGAAAATCCGAGAGAGCATTTTGATAGTGCGGTCAATTCTGAGTCCTTTCATGCAAAGAAATTGGATCTAGCTTAAAAACTGAGCTCTTGGGAGCGATTGCCGTGGTTCAATGTTTTGCGTCGAAATCGGACGAACATGACGTCACTCTGACGTCATATCCGGCCGATCTATGGTAGCTACGAAGTTCAAATTTTGACACAAGGTGTTAAATTGATGCAGCCGAAGGTACTGAAAGTTTGGCGTCGATCCGTCAAGCGGTTTGGAAGTTATTGCAGAAAAACGAGAGGGGGGCTTTAAATAGCCCCCCGTGGGGCGCGGGTTAATTAAAGCTGTAGGCCTGACAGCTCTTCTCGCGAAGGTCTTTTTTTTTGTCGGAAATGACAGAACATGACGTCATTCTGACGTCATTTGTGGCCAACCTATCATAGCCTCTGGACATATTTTTGGTCATAATGTGTAAAATTGATGCCCAGAGGGGTTCTGAAAGTTTGGTGGCAATATCTCCAGCCGTTTAGGAGATATCGGCGGAAAAGGACAGGGGGGCCGTTTCGCCCCCCCCCCCTACGGTGCGCGGTGTAACCTAATTTTACTATGATTGTGCGATGCATGTTTTGTGGCATTTTTTTCATTTTCAACTCAATGGTGTTGGTTATATGACCATCAGGAACGGTTTAGGTTACTTCCTGGTGGAGGTCAGGTAAATGTCAGGTCAAAAAAGGACAAATTTCAATGTTGGTATTTTTGCAAAAAAAACGGGCATCGATGCAATGCAGCTCGTCACGAAAAGTCTAGTGGTGGTCTTTGTTTTGCGAAAAAGTGGTCTAGAATTGCAAAAAAAAAAATGGGTTTGAAAATTTGAGGTTATCATTTTTAACAGTTTTTTTTTTCGCTATAACGTGGCCAAAAAATGAGATATCGATCTGAAATTTGGTATGCAGATAGAACTCGGTAGGTACTAACATATATATTCTGTTTTTCCCGAAATTCGAAAAAGCTTTTTGGATTTTTTGGCTAATATATCCCAAAATAAGTTTTATCATTATTATCATATATAAAAATATCATAGCCTTTGGAACATTTTTGGTCACGTTGTGTAAAATTGATGCCCGGGAGGGCACTGAAAGATTGGTGACGATCGACGCAGCGGTTCTGGAGATATATCGAAAAGTCTAGAGGGGGAGGGCAAAACATAGCCCCACCCCCCACTCAACCAGGGCGCGGGATATCCTTCGCACCAGTGGGGGGGGATGTTTTACCACCCTGTCGCGTTTTTTGCGTGTGATTGAAAAACTGCGGTGCGTAGCGCCGCGCCGCTTGGAGTAGCTTGTTGTACATCAATTTTTCACGTGTGAAATTTTTGACCCAAGGTCATGTCAGGTCAGGTCACCAGGTCAAGTTAACTGACCAAGCCTAAAAAAGTTAGCAATCATGTCCAGCCCGCAGTGTTTGTCAGAGGTTTTAAACTTAGTGGATTGCATGACGTTATGGGCACCTATAATTTGTATATCTCGGATTTTTATATCCGTGACCTAAGGTCAGGCCAGTGGCGTGTCCTTTCCATTATAAATCAAATGTGAAAAATGAAAATGCCTCTAGATCCATGTGTACGCATAGGAACAGTCCCACTATTTCAGAATCACAATGATTTAGTCCACTCGTGATGACCAAGGTGTCTTTTTTGCTGATAGCCTCTAGAAAGGTCATCCGAAGTCAGTTGAGGCTACAAGCAGATTTTTGCCAGTAACTCTCGATTGGAAAAAGATGGAACGCTGGGGATGGCTTCATTATGCTTGTATTGTCAAGACGTATCGAATGACGTGCAATATGATCTATTTGGGTAACCACGTGACCTTGACTTGAGGTCAAAGTTTGACCTTGACTTTTCCAGGTAAAAAATATATTTTCGAAGCGACTGAAGTAGAGAAACACGATAGTGCCATTGCCAATTCTTCATCTTTGCTGGTTCAAAAGTAATTCGTGAAAAAGTTTTATCCAAAAACAGCCATTTTCACAATGTTTGACCTATGGAGGCTTACCGTTGACCTTACATCAATTTTGATGATGATCTTATCAAAAGAAGAGTTCAAAAGCTATCGATTGCATGTCCATGCGTTTTTCTAGCTATCATAGTTCCTGAGATAACGGCATGTTTTCTGAAAAATATAATGACATTTGGCAACTTTTGACCTTTGATGACCTCTGGTGACGCCAATATTGCTCTAAGATGAAACACGACTGATATACTTTCAAACGTGCGCACTGGGAGCTATCAACTGCTTTTTACCGCGTCTTTCTAGCCCTCTTAGTTTTTTAGTTAGAGGTGGGTGGTATGGTAACATATATGTCCCCCCCCCCGCATTATGGCAAAGTTGGCTGAGACCGCCACTGGGGCGCGGGATATAGAAAGCTCGGCCCCCGCCGAAGTTAGTTGGTAGCACTGCTGCTCCACGGCGTACATTTCCTACCAGCCCATAGGGTTTACATGTTAAATGGCCTGTTTTCAGCGAGCGATATCTCGGTCAACCTTTGAAGGAATCAATGGTTCTTAGTCTCAAATGAACTTTTTGCTAGTCCCGACCACATATAGTAGGTTTTCTAGTAGTTATACTAGAAATTCCTACCAAAGTTCGTCCTATCCTTCACTCAATATACCCTGATAGAAAGCCGCCAGAGAAAAGCTAAATTGATTCTCTGACACACAGGTTGATGAAACTCCGAGCCAGGTTCTGAACACTGTAAACCTGCGGACCATCAGTAACAGCGAATGTGGCGACTATCTCGGAGAAGACACCATCGAGAAGAGCATGATCTGCGCTGGCGCCAAGAACATCGGAGCTGGCGGCATGGGTCCCTGCACGGTGAGCTCCAATACCAGATAGCCCGCAGGTACTAATGTTTAAATGGACTATCCCACCTTTAACATGGGGTTTGAGTTGAGATAGCCAAGTTAGCGGCGAGGTTCAGAAACCGCTATCTATCTAGGTTGCAACCCCCGCGGCCTCTTGGTGTTGAAGAAATCCGTTCCCTTCATTTGAAAATGGGCCTTGTACAAGGCCCTATCTTCAACATGGAGCGACCGTTAGTGTGACGTCACCTCGTTTAGTCATTCTGATTTAAATGGCTTTGTTCGTTGAAAAATCGCTTAAAACTTGGTCTGAACTTTGTTGTGGTGCCTACAGAGTAAAAGAATCAGCTTTATGACAGTAATGTGGCCTGGGGAAGGAGGTAATTTTGGGCTGTGACGTCACATATTTGAAAGTTTGTGTTTGGAATATGGGAAGCCTAAGATGTGTAATGAAAAATAAATGCCAGAACCGTGTTCCTGGTCATCCAATTTATAAATTCGGGCACAATTTAACTGGTTTTAACAACATTTTAGAAGGTGGGATAGTCCCTTTAACCCGCGCGCCGTAGGGGGGGAACGCCCCCCCCCCCCGTGTCCTTTTTCGTCGATATCTCCTAAACGACTAGAGATATCGCCACCAAACTTTCGCCATGTTAAGTTTTCAGATATTCGCGAAAAACCTGAGGGGCGCGTATCCCCCCCCCCCCCTCCAGCACGGCGCGGGCTAATATTTGGCTAGGCTTCATAAAACCGCTACCAATCGAAGGAATGAAATAGACTGTTTCCGAGCGTCTCAAATATCAGGAGAAATTGACGTCACTTTCCGAGAGTGTATAGCCCGACCGAAGTCTGAATAAGTCAGCCCACCGCAGATCCGCTTAGATCCGCTCTTCAAAGTACTCCCTCCATATAATTATCCGGACCGTCTTCAAGTCCGTGCGTGCAAGGTCCAACTGGTCTAAAGCCCAACAAACGAATGAACGTACTCTCTCGTGCTCGTCCTTGCGTGGCTCAGTACCTATAGTATAGTATAGTATAGTATCTATGTACTACGTACTATGTACTATGTGCTATTACTACTACTATTACTGCTATTACTACTGCTGCTATTATTACTTACCACTTTACTGCTATTATTACTTATTACTTACTACTATTACTGCTATTACTACTATAGGGGAGAGTGGGGCAATGGCGACACCATAAGCATTTTGCTCAATAGCTTAGCTATTTGAAGCTATTTTATGGTGATTTTGACTGTGGTTATAGCCAAAGGAATAGGCTTTCAGATAGCACCCAGTTTTAGTATCTCAGATCACTGATGACAGATTCAGAGCCTACGCGAAAATGTGGTGAAAAATGGAGGTGCAAAAAAGCGAGGGGTAATGCCGGCCACTAAGTGCAATAGCACAAAAGTCGAAATATCGTCACTGGTATTCATCCTTAAACCGTTCTTTCGATGGAAATTTAAGTGAGAATTAAGAAACGACAACTGTATTCAGCAGTTAACAGTACACTGCACTGCAACACAACACTGCACTCGCTGCAAACCAACAGCGCGGCGCCAACAGAGCAGCAAACTAACACAACCGTAAACACAGCAAGCAAACTAACACAGCCGTAAACACAGCAACCCGAAACGTTGAGCTTTAACGACAGAAGTCGCAAACAAAACCGCGTGGAGTCATTCCGGACACGTGTCCGGTATTACCCCGAGGTCAGCTTTATTTTAAGAAAGGAGGCAGCAGTCAAAGGCATTGCGCCGCAAACGCCTCACATCCAGCAGTCGCCTAAGAAAGGCTTAATTGAAGGTCATTGCAAAGCAGCACTTCTGAAAATGCGTTAACACATTTCACAGTCAGCAAATAGATGCAACAAAAATTAAAAATCAGATACGAAAAACACATTTAACGCTATAAAAATGAAAATAATGGAGCTACCGTGACAAACTTGCACCACGTGCTAGAATGGCGCTCCACTGAAATGTAAACAACATCAGCTGATTAGTGATGGACAAAGTACTCACTAGAGATGGGTGGCCGGCATTACCCACCGTCCGCCATTGCCCCACTCTCCCCTACTACTATACTACTACTACGTATCTATGTACTATGTACTAGTACTATAGTATAGTATCTATGGCCGTGGCGTGGCTCTCAACAGTAACCACCTGACTGACGTGCTACCGATGCACAGTGGGCCAGGCGCATCAAAAAAGCGGAATTAAGTCGAAAATCAACTTCGGTGAAATTCCTGTAATTATGGGATAGAGTATTGTAAAAATGTCCAAAGTTTCCGAATAAGCAAGTTTCCTTTCCCCAATGTCAAGGCAGATAATGCTATAACGTCGCAAAGTAGGACTTACCGACTGGAGATGGAAATGACTGCTGTGTACCATATTCCGTTCCCCCGATTCAAAAGCTCTCAGCGTAAAATCATTAAAGTTATTCCTTACAAAATAGCTTTAAAAAAACAGCCGGTATTTCTGCGCATGTTTCTCGTACTCAAGTTCCCGGGAACTATTTCATGCTTACTAGTAGCGGTGGGGTTTACAGTGCCTGTTCGGAACCGTGGTAGTGCAACGACGCAATGAATTTATATAAGGATATAAAGAAAACGTCACCGAACAACACGAAGATATTTGCTGCCTGACTTTCCTCAAGGTGTATAGCTTGCTGCCCAATGCAAATATTTTGCGCATTTTTGCGCGAAATGGACAAATAAGGGTTTAACCCTCGCCGGCATAGGCCGTTTTGCATCCCTCGACGGCACAGGGGGATGCGACCCTCCTCGCGTTTGGCCCCTAATTGAGCTAGAGTCTCGCGGGAAAAAAAACCATCGTGTAGGTCGTCACGAGACGAAGCCAACGGTACCCGGTTTTAAGGTCATAGGTCAAATGGTGACCTCTGAGGTCAGGTCAATGGCCGAAAGTCGGGACCTGTTAGAACGTCGTATAGTGTGGCTGCTAAGGGGGTTTTCGGGATGCTGATCACGAATATCATGTTAGTTTTGATCACAGATGATGTCTTCATGCATTTAGGCCAGGTCGGGTCAGCTCAGGTCAGGTCAACCAGTATGGGTCCTGCCGGGTATTCGTAGTAGGTGTCAACCCGCCTCTGACAGCTTCGTAACTTGTTATGAAGGCACCAAAACTACTTCGTAAATGTTCAAATGGTTCCTAAATTCGAATTCAGCTCCAAAAACTAGCCCAGAAACATGTAAAACTCGAAAAAGTGAACCGAATAAAATGTTCAAATGGTTCCTAAATTCGAATTCAGCTCCAAAAACTAGCCCAGAAACATGTAAAACTCGAAAAAGTGAACCGAGGTCATCGAAGGTCAATGACCTGACCTGACCTTCAGGTGTCCTTTACACCCACCCTAATGCATGGGACCAACATCATATCACATGTTTGAACGCTTGAAACCACGAAAAGACTGCAAACGCGCGGCCAATGCGGCATAGTGCCCGCCTGTCCCAGGCATATGTGCAGCGCAGAAATTAAATAATGACGTCATAGGTCAGTGACCTAGCGTAACCAATCAAATTTGAAAATGGATATCGGATTCGGCTTTAGCATGATATTTTACCCTGTAACGAATCGTTTTTGGCACCGCAGCTGTGCTCAATGATTTAATTCCGCTTTTTTGAAGCGCCTGGCCCACTGTGCGATGAAAATACAAGGCTTTCGGTCGTTCGCTTCCGTTTGAGGTATTGCTCATCTCAGTCGTTGCCATAGCACGGCCACATAACAGAAACAGATTTGTTTCAAGTCTAAAGACACAATGTATCTCAAAAACCTGCTTTGTGATTCGTCCTCGATTGCAATGAGTAGCATGAGATACCTACCAAGTACCAACGTGGCAATAAGAGCCAGTTAAATATGCATCTGATTCTCTAGGTCTAAACCTGCGTAAGGTTATTCGATGCCATTTTTTTCAGTTCGACTTCGGCGGTCCACTGATGATCAGGACGTGGTACGACCGTGACCGATATACGCTTGTGGGTGTGGCCACCAACCGCACCGGATGTGGCCAGCCTAATCAGCCGGCCGTCTTCACCCGAGTCTACTCGTTCCTGGACTGGCTCCTGGACAACACAGAGGATGCCGTCTACTGCTGAACATCATGCCACTGCTCACGACCGGTGGAAATGTGCGTGGATGTCCAAATGAAATGTTCTCTTGCACGTCTGTATGAATACACAACCAACCTAGACCAATGCCACTTTGTTGTTGCATACATTGATCCCGATATTTGGTTGAAATAAAAAAAAAACATTTAGTGTGACTCTACTGAGTACTGGTGTGGATACTATGTTGGTGTCATCACAGAAATCACAGAAAATCAGGATACCGATACCAAACCAAATACCAAACAAAACCATTCAAAAATACCGAAATCGAACCAACTTGTGAATTCGAGGAAAATATCCATTTTTACCAAATTCGCAGCATCTTTGCATTAACCCACGCCCCGCTAGGGCCCGTGAAGTTTACGTGCTAGACTTAATTGCATTCCGAACACGAGACGGCGGGCGCAAAGGCCGCGCCGAATGGAGCCAGCGCTCCCACTCTTTAGCCCTCTCCCGCACATGGGGGAAGGGGGGTTGCCACCCCCCCCCCCCAGGTAGTTTTTCTGCTCTGCACTCAACATTTTTAGAGCTAGAAGGCTGATTTTTCGTATAGCTGCCTCATTATCCGTTCTTGCTGTTCACTGAAAATTTCAAGTTTCTGTGGTTTTTGGTTTCGGAGATATAACCTTGTTTTTCAGGTCATGTCATGACCCAAATGACCAATTCTCAACATCTTGCGTTGGCTATGGGCCCTGTGAGCTTTTGACACCTTGATTTTGGCCTGTTTTGCCATTCTTACCTCCATTCTATCATGGAACATGTTGTTCGACGATGTACAGATGTCAAGGTCAGGGTCAAGGTCAACTTAGGTCATCTAAAATAATTGGGGAAGCGGGGGGAACACCGCCACTGTGGGAAACACCGCCACCCCATCTGGCGGCGAAAGTATGCAATGTGAAGTGTAAAAATCCGTTATTTCCTATTAACCGCACGGAGGTAAGCGTCTTCTGATTTGTGTTCCGGTGATTCAGTGTAATCGAAAGTTAATGTGGGCATTTAAAGAAAAATGTACATTCTCTTATAAAAATTCGATGAGTTGGGAGCACTTTTGAATGTCTTTAAGAAGAGACTCATTTTGATTTACTTGATTACATCGAAAAATAATTGATCGGCTTTGTCCAGTAAGATAAGTTTGGTTGAACCGTGTAGTACATTCTTGCCGCTGGCGATTTTTGCTTGTGATCACTTATTGGGGAACACCGCCACCCCGTGGCGGTGTTACCCCGATTGAGGTTTCCTGTTCGTAGCGTGATAAGTGATGAAACTCCCAAAGAGACGCTTTTTTATGTTCGTAGATGTTCCTAAGTCGGGAATAAGCAGCTTATTTGATTTTTTACTTTATATTTTTCATGCATCCCGACCAAGCACTTGCCAGCTGTATAAAACTGGCAAAAAGCTGATGAACCTATACCTATTTAGGTGTCCATTACCGATTATTTGCGAAAATTACCACTTACCGACAGGAAACTCATCGCACGCGATCTCTGAACAATTAAAAGCTTTCTTAGGAATGGGTTGGGTTAACATCAACACCGGTGGCGGGGTTACCCACACAATTTGTAGGCGGCAAATATGCAAGGTATTTTTAAAAGTCGTGATACATGAAAACCTTTTAGGAGCATGCAAAATAAGTACCTAAAACACGTGAGAAAATGTTTAAATATTGTAACCAAAACAATAACTACCAAGAGACTTCACACATATTCTCTCATTTTGGCGAAAAGCTTAGGGGGGCGGTGTTACCCCCGCTTCCCCTTGCGATTTAGGCAAGCTAAATTTACTTTTCGTGAAGTTTTTTGACTGCATTTTCGGTAAAAGCTTCTCAGATCATGATTTCATGTAATATGGACACATAAACACTCGGTGCACACATCAGTATACACACAGACACACACAGACATACAAACACATATCATTGACCTTGACCTAACTTCACCTGAAATGACCTCAGCAGCAAAAATCTGGTCGGGTAACGGTGTGACAAAGAGATTCTAGCTGGCTTGGTACCAGAAAACGGCATCGTCATCGGTATATGATAAGCAGCGCACTTGATATCCAGCGGTGACCCAAAACAGCAACATTTTTTAGTTTGACCTGACCTGGAAGGCCAATGACTGACCTGAGAAGGTAAAACTGGTTATCATTGGATTCGTCTCTTCCCAAAGAATCTTTTTTGTCATTACCGGGAAGCTCTATCTCCAACAGGAACGAAATTGCGCGGGGGTGCAGCCCCCCTCCCATGTGCGTTCTAGGATGGGAAAATGGCATGTGTGGGCGAGGATTAACATTACGACGCAATGACCTCTAACTGAGCTCAGGTCAGTGACATAAAAAACCCGAACTATATGGGGGAAGTTGGGGGAACGCCGAATACTTTTTTCTGACGTCCGTAGTACGCAAGGTAGACAACATAAGCTATTCTTGTTGGCGTCATTCGAGAGGCCAGTCTTTTGTCTTTCAAACATACCAGGCGCATTTGATGAATTCGCATACCGTTAAGCGCAAAAACTAAAAATATCAAAGAACTGACTTTTTCGGCGTTGCCCCGGACTGCGGGGAAAGCCGAAAATGGGATAAATGATCTACGAGGAATGCCGACATTGATGTTTTGCCAATTTATCTCAAACTTTATCCAAAATTCATCAAAGCTGACACGCGTTTTAAGAGCTTGAGGACGCTTGGTGCACACTGGAAGTTATAATTGTGTAATATAATAACAAAATGCCAGGTAAATAATTCCTTATAGGTAACAGGCCGTTGTGCCGGCTGAAAGTGTAATTTGTTTGACTAAAAATACGCGTTGCTATTCTACAGCAGTAAAGTCCACGTAGCGTGCTTTAACGTGCGTAATTGCACTTTTTCGGCATTACCCCAGCCAGCCATACTTTCATTTGCAGGCCCATAACTTTTAAACGTGCTGTATAAATTTCAAATAGGCAGCACACTTATGCAAAGACATGCTGAAGATTACTTGACCGAATTGGCCAGACAAACGGTAGCAAAATGAGTAAGAAATGCAGCTTCAAAGGCGCATGTAGTACAAGGGAAACGTACCTTGAAAACGCTTTTGGCGCCCTCACAGCCGAAGTATTCCAAATGACGACTCGTAACAAACATGCGATAATTGTAGTCACTTAAGCTTCAGAGCATCACTGAGACGTGGCATCCATGTCGTACGGTTTTAGAAATATCTCGAATTTCGGCTTTGCCCCAACTCCGGCATTGCCCCAACTTCCCCTGTTATTGTTATACAACTCGGTGAACTTAGCACATCCTGAAAGTTTGAAGGAAATCAGTCCAAAGCTGTGAGTTGGACAGGTGCAAAAAGAGAATTGAAGTTTGACCATGACCTTGCACCGGTTTTCTGACCTGGTGACCTGACCCAAGGTCGCCCGGACCTGAAATTTTCAGGTCATATGTAAAAAGTTTGCCCCATAGGCTGTAGCGCCGCCTATCTTCGAAAAACCTTAGGGGGGGTCGCATCGACCCCCCCCCCTCCCCTGCAAGGGCGAGGGTTAATGGTACATATGTACTTCCAATGCCTCAGTATTGAGCACTTTGCTAAAAACGCCCAAAAGGACGGTTTTTGATCTGGGTCTGGATGATCGGAGATGGTCCACCGTTTCTATGATATACTCAGCGAATAGTTGCCGTGTCGATATCGAAGCGTCCGGTGGTAACTGGTAGGTAGATCCCCGCTACAACAATGCTCTGTGGTCGAGAGGGCCAAAGAATGCACCACATCATTTCTAACTCACGTGGAACTTCTATCTGAATTCTGAGTCATTGTATAAGTCACTCCTTTTTTTAGGCCTTCAGTCTTACCGACAACCGAGAAATCCCTATCTCTACGCAGAGCGCGATACCCTGGTAAAGAGATGCGCTTATCGTCCACGCTCGGCATCAAGTGCGTTTCGCTTATTACCGCCAAGTCCACGTTATGCATTTGCAGAGTAACGTGGAGCTCGTTCAACTTCGTGTTTGTACAAACACCATTCGTGTTCGTAGTAAAAAAAAAAAAACGTTTCACCTTCAGCGGCTTTATGGCTACAACTGTTTAATCTTTAAAAAAAAAAAACGAGAACTTCACTTGGGATCTCAGAGATGTTTCTTGTTGCCGCAAACATATACAGCCGTCCCGTTTTATTCATGCCAGAGAATCTGCATTCTGACATTCTTGGGCATGTGCGGGCGAGGGTGAACATTACGACGTAATGACCTCTGACTGACCTCAGGTCAGTGACATAAAAAAACGAACTATATGTCTTGTACTGGTTTTTCTGACTTGGTGACCTGATTCAAGGTCATCCGGACCTGAAATTTTCAGGTTATATGTAAAAAGGTTGCCCCATAAGCCGTGCCAAATTTGGCGGCGCTGTGCGCCGCCGTTTTCACGCTATCTTTGAAAAAACTAAAGGGGGGGGGGGGTCGCATCGACCCCCCTGCCAGGGCGAGGGTTAACCCTCGCCGGACCTATTGGTTTTCTACATGCGCGCCGGCCGAGGGGGGCGGGTACGACCCCGCCCCCCTCGCCGTTTCGCCTCTGATCGAGCTAGCGTGTCGCGGAAAAAACGAGCGTGTGCGCCGTTACGAGACGCAGAGATTGATACCCGATTTTAAGGTCTTAGGTCAACCGGTGACCTCTGAGGTCAGGTCAAGTACCTCAATGTACGGTTCCGTTTTGGTGTATAACTTCGACAAAAATGGCCGCGGAGCCGCAATTTTGGCAGCATCGTGCGATGCGAGCCGACATAAACCGAATCACGGTTCCGGCCAAACATGGTATCAAAAAGTCACAGGTGAAAGGTCATTTCGGGTTAGGGTCGTACAATTTTCAGGGTAGGTGTAAAATTGATTAACGGGAGGGTACTCGAAGTTTCGTCGCGATCAGCCGCTTTTACGCGATCTATTCGCGAAAAATTGAGAGGGGTCCGTTCGACTCTATACGGGCGAGGGTGCATTCACCACAGAGCCTCAGGGGCCGGCATAGCCCTACTTTGCAAAGGTAAGTGCTACTTCATGAGTACTGCACCGGCGCAGGGGCGGCTAACTGATTCCACCAGACCAGAGGCACTGGCCGCACTGGTC